TATATATATATATATGGATAAGATCAAGGCATTGCAGTAAACCTCGTAAGTGCTATTTGCATATTCTCGGAGGTGAGTAATATATGGAAAAACATGTAATTTAAGCATAAATTATCCTAATTTAAAGGAATCTGTGAAAGAAAAGAAGGCCCAGTCATACAGTAGTAGAGAAATGTATGCAGTTGGATTACTGTTATAATACTAAAACTAATTAAAGAGAACCTGTCACTTTGTCCATATAGGTTCTTCTGTTAGGATATCCACCCACCCACTGGAAATTACCCAGTATTTTTGGGTATGGGGGATCATTGTACCTTTGCCCCTCCCAGAATGTAGTGGTTGTATTTGACAATTAGGCCTGTCTTATAAGGTAGGATAGAAGATCATTAACTAGACATGCGCACAGCATGAAACTTTGTTTCGGACAAAACGAATGAAAAATAAAACATTTTCATTTGTTTTGTTTGACGAAACAAATAATGATGTTGTTTCGGATACGGAGGCAATGAACCCTTGAATCATTTAAACAGCAGAATGCATGGTGGCCATATTAACCACCGGCGCGTTCTGTACATGCGCTCCGCCATCTTGGAGGCGGAGTGCATGACATCTCATGACGCCACGAGTGCATGGTGTCAGATAGCATCATACACATATATGGGCACCACCATTTTGATGTATGCACATGCGTATGACGCCACCTGATGCCATGCGTGCTTGGCGTCATGTGACATCATGTGACGTCATGCACTCCAGCCTACAAGATGGTGGTGCGCATGCACAGAACGATGTGGCCACCGCACGTTCTGCAAACAAATTATTATATGCCCAAATATATTTTCCATTATATTTGAGCATATAATAATTAATTAATTTGGATTCTGACGAATCAACGGAATTTAGTTGGTTTGCAAGTTCCTCCGAATGCACATATCGCTCATTAACCATGTATAATCTCTGACACTGACTGACTTGAGCTTTAGATAATTTCACTATTGCAGGTAAATTAAGAATCATACATAAACTCTATTATTAATTATCCACATTATGTATTCTACCAATAGAGAAGTATTCTGGTACACTGCACAATGGCAATCCAGCATTCCCAACAATTACTTCTCCACTTGTCAGACTGAAAGCCTGTTTATAATGTAGTTTGTACTTAATGATTAAGGAGTATTACTCACATGTGCACACAGTGGGCAGCTGTTAATATCCATTGGTTGTTGATAATAGATCCTCCACATACATGTCTGCTGTTAGACGGGTCTAGCCTGAGGTGCATGCTCACTTGCCATGGCCATTCCCCTTCAGAACTGTTTCTACCACCTACAATTCTGGTCTGAACATCAACAGGTTGTCCACATCCTGAATAAGAATGGAAAGAAAATTCAAAACTTTTTCCAATAGATTTAAAATTAAATATTTCTGTTAAACCCTCAAAAAAATTAAGGCCTTCTAAAGCCTTAATTTTTCCACCCAACATTGCTCTTCCGGAGACCTCCTGCTCTCCAGTTCCCTTCGTAAGGCCTCCCATGATTGGCTCCTGGACTTCTCTAGAGACTTTCCCATCCTTTGGAACTCCTTACCGCAACCTGTCCTTCTGTCTCCTACTCTGACTGCCTTTCGCCAATTCCTAAAGACTCCCCTCTTCAGTGAAGCCTATCCCACCTCAACCTAACCACTGCAATCACTTTCTCAAACAATTAATCCCCACACAGCTACCACCCCTTGTATCACTTGCCCCTCCCTATTAGATTGTAAGCTCTCATGGGCAGGGGCCTCCTTACCATCTTGTCTTGACTTGTTTTGTAACTGTAATGTCTTGCTTATATTGTAAAGCCCTACGCAAACTATTGGCGCTATATAAATCCTATATAATAATATTAATACATGCATACAATACAAGACCTTAGTGGAGTGGAGAAAGGTATGTGCTCTTAAAGAGGAGAAAGGAAAGTGCAATCTTTTTTTTACCTACAATGTTACAACAGTCATTATTAAACTATTTTCTAAACTGTATTATAAATAATATGTAGCCAACCTTTATGTGTGTAAACCTGGTGACCTATTATATTACAAGAGGTTAAGTGCAACGGGTTCCTTAAGCAGTGCATTTGATTAGGATATAATTATAGGAGCTGCTGTTGTCAACACGTACCATTGTAAACATTTCTTAGATCACAGACACCTATTCTAGCCTCCAAATTATCTCATAAACCCACAGTTTTCTGAAAAATGCCAACAGTACGCATCTGAGCCTGACCTGGTTGATATTTTTGATGCTTTAGTCAGCCTCAGCAATTATATGCTTTAATAAGTGTTATTAAGTGTAACAAGGACACTCCACTGTAGACCGGAGGTGCAAGTCAGATGCAGTTTATTTGCTTTCAAAACGGTAGATAACATGAAATCCAACATAAATAGCTCGCTGTAGCATATAACAGATAAGGGCTCACCGACATCTGTCTCTCTTGCAGCACTGCTGCTCCGGCCTCAATCTTTAGGGCCACTGTCTGGTTCCTCCAGACAACGGCAATAACATGCCAATCCCCTCAATATGGTTCGCAAACCCCGCAGCTCCCTGCTGCACTGGCCTCCACACTGACTCCGGGGTGGAGCTCTCCTGACTCACAGGTGGGGCCCTGAACACATCCCAGCACACACTTCATGAGGGATGTAAACAGGTGCACAATCAGGTGCTGGTCACCACCAAAGCATGGACCCAGGAATGGAGATTTCTTCCCACCCAGAGCTCTAAGAAATCTCCTGGCTCCAGGATCCCAACCTTGATCCAGAAAACCCAGAAAGAACTGAAAAGGCAGTTCTCTCCTGGTACCAGTAATGTCTTCCTGGAGCCACTCAGCCCCTCTGGCTGAGAACCCTGGGTGACTTTGAGGCCACCTAACACCGTGGTATTGCCTCACAATGCCACATAAGTTATAACTGAATCCTCTCCATCCACTCACATTCCCATGGAATATAATCATATTACATTACCTCTAACTGTTCTTGTCTTGCACAGTCTCATCGAGAATCCTGAAATCCCTCCTTTGCCATGTTCTATTGCTGTTGGTAACCCATTAGAAGACATCTTTAAATAGCATTTGCATCTTGGGGAAAAAAGATTCATAGAAACTGTTAAGACATTTTTCATATAGGAAATTAAAATTGATAAAGGTGCCCACATGGAGAGGGAATCCAAAATGCCAAATGAAATTTGATCAAATTCTTCTCTTCATTTTCCTCAAGCGCCAGAAGAATAAACTGAAGAATTAGATTGAATGCTAAGAGAAACACAAATGCGATTTTTGTTCAGACACTGATAAATGAGGGCTATGTGTTGCTTTATAGCTGAACTCCAGGCAGCAATAGGCTGATGAGGTCATCTGTCTGCTCCCTCTGCTCCATCCTCTTATAAGCATGTTCCTTTTTAGCATATTTTGATGAAATACGCCAAATTGGCTCCCAGTCCTGCACTTTTCTCTCCCCATCCTCTCCCTGAGTGTTGCTGAATGGGAATTGCAAGAGGCTAATACCATGTCAAATTCAAGAACGTGCACTAGTTTCCTTTAAATTTTAATTTAATTAATACCTTGCTATGTGTCTTTATTAAATGGACACTAAGCTCAGGATTTAAATCTTAAAAATGCATTAAAGTACCTTAACTATTAACAAAAACTTAGCTTATTTGTGTATCATTCAGCTGTAGATCCTCAAATCATCTCTGAATTTGTGCTGACACTGTCCTTCCTTCTGGAGGGTCGCTACTTTTGTTCCCCATGGTCCCTATGTCTTGTAAAGTAGCCACCGCTCCAAGCTCACTCCTGTGATAGACTATAATCTCAATACAAATTAGTAAACTAAACATGAGATTGTAGTCCATCACTGGAGTGAGCTTGGAGCGGTGGCTACTTTACAACACACACAGGCACCATGGGGAACAAATGTAGCCACCCTCCAGATGGAAGGACAGTGTCACCACCAATTCAGAGATGATTTGAGGATCTAGAGCTGAGTGATACACAAATAAGATACATTTTTGTAAGTAGTTAAAGTATTTGTATGCATTTTTAAGATTTAGTTTAGTGTCAGTCTAACTACTTGCTAATGTGCGTCTTTAATTGCCTGGAATTCAACTTTATTAAAGAAATGATTCCTTACTTTTTTCGAATGCACTCTGATTGAACCGATCTATAGGTGAAGAACTGACAACGTATGTTGTTGGTGCAGCGTTGCTGACAATCTTTTTCTCCACTGACTACTTCTACATGCAGGTCAGTGCCAGCAAAGTCTGCATTGGAAATGACTGGCAAAGGGCAAACTAGAGAGAGAGTAAAACATGTCAAATTAAAATGTATTTTTGTCAAAATGCAGCAAAAACACGGGACTTTTACTTTTTAATCTGTTTGTATATGATATAAGAACTGGTTTGTGTTTACATAAAACACTAAGGCATGTAGTGGAATAAAGATATCTGGGGCATACTAGCAGACCTGGATGCACTCCTTGCTTGGGCAACTAAGTAAATGTATGCTCTTGGGGCTAAAAACATACATGCATACTACAATCTAGGCGAGGACAACTGGTTGAGTCAATGATGGTGAATGATCTCAGTGTTTTGGTAGACCACCAACTGATGAACAGCATATAATCTCACTTGGTTTTACCATAGTGCTGCTGAAGTATAACGTTTGGCAGGTGGTACAGCAGACAGAGGCACCAACGCTACCAACTCCCTCATGTGTCACATTCTGAGGCAGTACATGCTGACTCTCTGGCAGTATTACTTGAAGCTCACTAGTTGTTTGTCCTTTTTCCCTGACATTTCTCTGGATCCCAAAAATTTGAACCCTAGGCATGGATATTCAGGGTATAATGCCTTTACCCACCCTTTTCCACATTGGGCTATTTTTGGGGATAAAGCGGGTTGAACCTCTTTCCAATAGCTGCAGGAAGAGTTTCTTCTTCCTAGAACATCTTTTTTATCAATATCAGCAACTTAGACATGCTATCCAGGCAGATGTTAGCAATATTCTTCTGAGAGGACCTATACAGCAAACATACACTTCTTAAAACCACAACAACCTGCACAGATCCAGTCAACATTATGCGCTGTCATTTTAAGCATTGCTATACCTTTAACTCTCACAAATACACATGTGTCTTTCAATAGCACCTACAACAAAATGCATACCAAGTTCATCAGAAGAGTAGAAATCAGTAGACTTGAAGTGAATGGAGCTCAACTTGCCATTCCCTTTAGCTTCAAATGGAAAGTTTCTTATAAACCAGTCTATACACTGGAGTACATTTTAGGGCAAGGCGCGTCTCTGGACCAACTGCGGGTTGTAAGGTTTCAGATTGCTTTTCTCTGGACCAAGGACCAACTGCGGGTTGTAAGGTTTCAGATCTGAATTGTATTTTTTTATCTTTTGGTTAAACTCAATGGACATGTCTTTTTTAATCTATCTAACTATGCACTACTGCATGGCAAATGCACTGGTTTAAAATACAAAAATGAAACCATGCCTTTGAAATAAATACTACAAATATTGCCATGCATTGAATACCTCAATAAAGTGCAAAGTAACCTGGCCAGACAGAGGTCTGTGGTTTTCCACCTTCTGGATACCTTCTGCAGATTTAACTCTTGCAAGTCAAGAGCTGTTAGACACATTGCTGAATGCTTCTTGTTTTCATTAAAAATAAAATGAAAAATAAATCACAGGAGCGAGCTTGGAGTGGGGGCTATTTTAAAACACGCACAGGGACCATGGGGAACAAAAGTAGCCACACTCCAGAAGGAAGGACAGTGTCAGTTTGAATTCAGAGATGATAATAGGGTACAATGCATTTTTAAGATTTAACTCCTGAGTATTGTGTCATGTTAAAGGAACTCCTGTTACTATTAGGAACAATTTAAAGCTGACTGCACCCTTAAAAGCTTCCTAAGTTTTATCTTCCCCATTAGCTGAAATACTGAAACACATTTATGCAAAATGTCACTAAAATCTTACAAGTTTCAACACAATTTTAGGGGAATTATAATGCTTTGTTTCACTCATACCTAGTAATAACCTGCAGTGAAGATTGCTTAAGTCCTTACAATGTATATAATTTAGATTTGTTTAAATCTAATCGAAGGTGGAGTTTCACTTTAAGTGATTATTTGTTTTTGTTTATACCTGAAGGTCTGGTTTTACAGGATTGGAGACTAAAGCCTGATATCGCATTGTCTTTGTTGGGTGCTTCAGTTGGTTGTCCATTTTTGGATGTCCTAATATAGCAACGATTTCTAAGAGAGCAAAGTAAATGTATATGTTAATACTCAATACATTGTACAAACATTCATTCACATGCTGATAACAGCTATCCATGTTGCTGAAACTGTGCATAGCATGCATAGCGAATGCTTGAAGATTGTCACTGTTTGCAGTGTGCTTGAGAGAGGTTCCATAAAAAACTGGGGTTCCATAAAACAAATCAATCCCAATGCTAATGGACATTGGGCTTTTCAGAACCCCCGTGGCCCAGAAATGTGTGCTTTTGTTTCACCTACCTGCCTTGCATGTATTTATTCTTTTTTATCTTTGTTCTTTGCTATCTCCCCTAGAATGGGTCTATTTCCTAGTTCTTTCGGTGCACCTTTAAATTTAAGACATTAGTGCTCTGGCCTTTTGCTGACAGCATCCTCAAAATAGGGAACCAGGGCACTCAAAAGAACACCCAAAAGTGCATGCTTGTTCTAGGTTTAGTGAAGCAAGAGTGAGAATGACAACAATGAACCTTTAAACAAAAGTCAGTAGTAATAGCTACTAAAGTGTTATCATGGAATGCTCCAACTAAACAGAATATCAGATGAAGCCCAAAATAATCCTAATCCAAAAATCTAGTTGGTACAACTAATGTTCTAATACATTGTTTGAATGTTTCTGCAACTGTTGTGAAAACAAGCTTTTGATTCCCACCTTTCAATATTTGTACTTAAATCAATAAATAGTAATAATATTGGTCAGGATCCTGTCCTGACCAATATTATTACTATTATTATTATTGACTCAGCTATAATAAAAATGTTACAGTAAGTAATAAATGTCTTCAGCTTTGAATATTACCAACCTGTTCAATGGTTCTTGCCAGTCTTTTGTTAAATATGTAAAAAATAGACAGTTTGGAAAGAATGTACAAATCTTCTGACACATGTTTACGTCAGGAGCAATCACACTTGTAAGAGTGTTTCCAAAAAATTCCCTTTTTTGAAACAAATCTCTTTGGCAACCTAAAGAACAAATACATTGGATAAAATAAACCATAATAAATCTAAATTCATTCAAAGTAATGAGACATAAACAAACATTAGAATTATAGAACTGATGTTGTGTTCCACAGAGGAATTCATTGCAGGCAGAGTTAAATTATGAACTCCAGACAAACAGTAACATACACTATTTAAATACACACTGTATATTGTATGTTCACTGTTTTACCTACTGATTGATTTGGAATACTTTTCAGCCATGATTGTGATTTACACTCTTCTGCCACACAATGCCAAGCCAGTGAGGCTACGCACCAGTGTTGTACCTACGACAAAAGGGTACTGCCACTTAGGGATCCCCACTGGTCTACACTGCTGGGCTTATTGATATGTTTCAGAGTCCAAGGTGCTGCAACTATTCAGAAACACTATGGGAAAGCATATCAATCAAGAGCGGCACAAGTGGGGTGCTGCTGGTACTCAAGCACCAGCAAAACTTCCCCCAGAACCCCCACCAGGCCCTTGTCTATACACTTCAAAGCAGCAAAAAGTGCCACTGTGGACATTACTGCTGCCAGTGTCAAAGCTGAATAACACACACAAGTCAGGCCAGGAAGAGGGGTTTGAAGTTGTCACTGAATTAGATTCCACTGAATATTAGAGTGGCAAACAATGCTTCCTCAGTCCTGACAAATATTTTTACTATTATTATTATTATTAATATTTTTATTAATATTATTATTAGAGGTGCACCGAAATGAAAATGTTAAAAACTAAATAAAAAAAATTGAGGCCTTTTTTTTTGGGGTATATTAGGGAAAAGGAGATTTAGGACACAAAGTCCTCTATCTCTTTTTCTGTGTCCCCTGCTATTAGTGAACAGGAATCCTCTATGACTGTTCCTGTTCATTCATAACATGAGGACATAGAGTGTTTACTATACCTACAACTATGAATGAACAGGGGATGATGTATATCACTTCCCATTCAGTCATAATTGAGGATATAGTTAACATACCATGTCCTCAATTATCTACAAACACTCAGCGATCACTGATCGTTGAGTGTTTGTAACTTGCTCTCCTCTCTGACACGTTGTCAAAGGAGGCTGATCAAGCGGTGTAGGGAGGAGAGCTCAGCCTCCTGTGACAGCGCGGCCTGTCTCCGCCCACACAGCGTTTTGCCGGACTGTGATAGGAGGCTGAGCGGTGTGGGAGGAGACGCCGAGCGCTCACAGCGCTCTCCTCCTGCAACACTCGGCAGCCTGTCACAGTTTCTCTCCTCCACGCTGGGACACAGAGCAGCGCCCAGCGGGGAGGAAAGAAAGCAGGGATGCGCCGATGTATCGGCAGGAAAATGGCACTTTCGGCATTATGAAACAAGTGCCAATTGCGGGCGATATATCGGTGCATCCCTAATTATTATACAGGATTTATATCGTTCCAACAGTTTTGCCAGCACTTTACAATATAAGGAAGACATTACAATTACAATACAAGTCAAGACAAGATGGTAAGCAGGGCCCCGTCCATGAGGACTTATAATCTAAAAGGGAGGAGCAAGTGATGCATGAGGAGGTAGCTGTGTGTGGATGAATTGATTGAGAATGTGATGGTTCAGTGGTTAGTTTGAGGTGGAATAGGCTTCCCTGAAGAGATGAGTCTTTAGGGATTGCCTAATGGCAATCAGAGTAGCAGAATGAAGGACAGGTTGGGGTAACGAGTTCCAAAGACTGGGAGAGACTCTAGAGAAGTCCTGGAGGTGAGCATGGGAGGAGTTGACGAGGGAGCTGGAAAGCAGGAGGTCTTTGGAAGAGCGGAGGGGACGGTTAGGGTGATACTTTGAGACATGGTTTGAGATATAGCCAGGGGCAGAGTTGTGGATGGCTTTGTAAGTGGTTGTTAATATTTTAAATTTTATCCTTTGGGTGACTGGAAGACACTGGATGGATTGGCAGAGGGGGGTTGCAGACACTGAGAGGTTGGTTAGGTAAATGAGTCTAGCAGCAGCATTTATTATAGACTGAAAGGTGGATAGCCCGTGTAGAGATAGGCCAGTGAGGAGGGAGTTGCAATAGTCAAGACGAGAGATAACAAGTGAATGGGTAAGTAGCTTTGTGGTTTCATTGGTGAGGAAGGGAAGTATTTTGGAGGTGTTACGAAGGTGAAGTCGGCAGGATTTGGATAGTGATTGGAAGATGACACCTAGCACCTTAGCATGGGGGGAGAAATGGATAGTTGTGTTATCAATCTCAAGGAAAAAGCGGGGGGCAGGTGTACAGAGTGGAGGAAATATCATGAGCTCAGTTTTACAAAGATTGATTTTTAGGAAGTGTTGTGACATCCAGACTGATATGTCAGTTATTAGATTAGTGACACGCAAGGACACTGAGGGGGTAGGTTGTGGAGTAGAAAGATATATTTGAGCGTCATCAGCATAGAGATGATATTGAAAGCCAAGTGAGGTTATTAACTGACCAATGGAGGAGGTGCAGATAGAGAAAGAAGGAGTCTAAGGACAGAGCCTTGGGGGACCCCTACAGAAAGAGGAGGGGAGGTGTTAGATTTGTAGGTGACACTAAAGGAGCTTTTAGGTAGGAGTAGAACCATGAGAGGGCAGAGTCTTGTAGGCCAAGCGAGTGGAGTTTTTTGAGGAACAGCAGGTGGCCAACAGTGTCAAAAACAGCAAAAAGGTCTAATAGCAAGAGTAAGGAGTAGTGGGCGAAAGCCAGACTGTAAGGGGTCAAGAAAGTTGTTATCAGTGAGGTGGCAGCTCAGGCGGTTGTAAATAAAGAGTTCTAGGTGTTTGGAGGTAAGTGGGAGAAAGGAGATTGGTCTCAGATTGTTAAAGTTTATAGGGTCCAGTGAGGGTTTTGGGGGGATTGAGGTGACCAGTGCATGCTTTAGATTGGAGGGAAAGATGCCAGTAGAGAGGGAAGAATTGAAAACGTGAGTAAGAGAGTGTAGGATAGAGTAAGAGGGTGAACTAAGTAGTGGTGATGGAACGGTTCTGTCAGCCTCTGATATTGGCAGGTTGTATTATTAGCCTCTAGTGTAGGTTGAATATGTATTGTCAGCCTCTTGTATCAGCCTCTTGTATCAGCAGGATGCATATTGTCAGTTTCTGCAATAGGCTGAATGGATATTATTGGTCTTTGGTATTAGCAGTATGTGTATTATCACTCTCTAGTATCAGCTGGATGTGTATTGTCAGCCTCTGGTATCAACAAGGTGTGTATTTTCAGTCTCTGATATTGGCTAGGTGTGTATTTTTAGTTGCTGGTACAGCTGGATGTGTATTGCAAGTTTATGGTATCTACAGGGTGTGTATTGTTAGACAATGGTATTGACAGGATGTGGATGTTCAGTCTTTCAGATGTAGAACTGTCACTTGGCTGAATTTAGATTGGACAGCCTGGGTTTTTTATAACTGCTCTGTGTTTCATGTCCACTATGGGCAGTGTCCACTATGGGCATTATTATAATTAAGTCCCCTATAGACCTGTCAATATCAAACAATGCATGTCCTGCTACTGATCCCTTGAAGAATAATGTATTTAACATGTTCATATGTCATAACAATATGGTTATATACAACATTCAGATAAAGGAACTCTTAATTGACTCATTGTTTTCCCTGCATGTTATTTAGCCAGTAATGTTTGTGTGGTAGGGTGTTAACAAATAATCTGTCCCTGTTGTTAAATATGCTAGGTATGCTACTGTGGTGCACATTTCTTTGTTCATCATTCAGCTTTCTTAGCCACTAGGTTGTTCATTGGGCAACCCTTATCACATTCACGTCTTCAAAACCTTTGTTAGATAAGGGGCAGTTATCACTGTAGTGATAGAAGCAGGCAATTATAACATCTCAGCAAATTCCAAACCAGACTACCTTGATTGTTACTTTAGCAAGCCTTAAAGATAATGCAGTTTAGGACACTCTAACTTACCCCTATCCCTACCCCAATCTGATCCTCCAATATAAACATGAAGCAAAAGCTATCCCAGTCCACACATTTTAAACAACAATGTACATAACAGTACATAACAAACTTATCACTGGCTTCAGAACAACAGGGCCAGCTGACTATCTGCTGTTTGCTGCTGATCAGACCATCATTAACAACTCAGTCACTTGGATACATGCTGTCTTAAGACAGTGAGAAGTGTTACATTTGCATTACTGAACAAAGGAATATTTACAGGTGCGGTTTTAAGTTGGTATCCAGACATTAAAGGGTTAATACACAGACTCAATTAGGTAGTTTACTATACAGTACATATTACTTTCAAAAAGTAATTCAGTCAGTGTAATTTTTTTACTGACAACTATACTTAGACCTCATTACATCCACAAATTTCAACCTCTCATCTACTGTATGTGCATCTACTAACAAATGAAGAAATTATTTGTTACACCTTTTGTATCATGGGTCATACATTTTCTGCAATTCCTAATATGCCATACACATTGGTCACTCACAAAAAATTAGATTTTGCTAAGAGAGATTTTGATCTCCAGTTATGGATTAACCATTGTCCTAAATAATGACATACAGTAGCCTTTGACATGTTAAATGGATTTCATGATTGCTTATAAATGAAGTTATCAGCAATAAATTGTGTCACAGGTAGTTGATCAAGGCCATAAGACACTTACAAGTTATATGTCTCTTGTCAATAAGGCATTAACATCTCCTTGGAAACCATACACTAAGTTTCCTATTCATTAATGAATATATGTCAGGTTAATTGTTCCTGCATGCTACCACCCCCATAACTACCACCGTTTAATGACATGTTTTTACATAAAATGTGAGTTACCTAGAGAAGATATTCCACAGGACTTTAATGAGAAGCCGGATATGACATTGGCTAGGTGTCTTATTTTTGTTGGTGTTCCTTTCCCAGAGTACTTTAAGTAACACATGTTTCTGGAGAAATAACACAGAATAAGGTGTGCAAGTATCCCACCATAAAAAAAAAGAAATCTACCACAAGGAGCTGTAAACATTTAATATTTAATGATAAAATGTACATTAACAAAATTAATTTAAACAAATCTAGCCCTAGAAATAACATTTATGTAAAAGGGGAACTATAATTATTTTGGCTCAGTTTTATTTTTTCCCTGTTTTATAAAATATTTATTTCACAGATAAACTTTTATCAAAGAATGCATTCCTGATACTGGTGTCACAAGAATTATAGTACTGAAACCACTGAAACTAGTATTTAAGTAAGTAAAAGAGAACATTTAGAAATGGTGTGTAGAGATTTATTTGCAGTGGACTGCCCTTTATTAGGGAGGAAATTCAATTTTGCGTTGGGGTAGAGTTTGACCTTTTAATCTTTTCATGATCACAGTTTGGGAAAATGGCAAACTGTTGAGTTTGTTTACTGATGAGCCTTAACCCAATAACCAATAATGCATTTCATGAACTGTGGTCAGGAGGCATAGCATGGGCAATAATAGAGGTTTGCAAATTTACCAGCCCCCTCTCTACTAAATGCAGCTTTCCCATCAGCTTTTTGTCAGTGTGTGTTGCAGTTGGAGTAAATAGGGACAGTAGACAGTCAAAGCAATTTCAGGTGCAGATATTAACTGTATAAACAGGGACAATAGACAGTCAGAGCAATTTCAGGCGCAGATATTAACTGTTGTACAGTGCAACATATAGAGGTATACGGTGCTTTACAGTATACAGTGGATTGCAGTGTGGTGGGCTACAAAGAGTGGCGTGTACTCCCCCCCCCCCCCAATTCTCTCTGCTGTATAGTGATCTAAATGCTGCCATATTGTTTTGCAGCTGGTATGCCCGGGGCACATGAGTCACACTGGGGCACAGATTCTCTCAGATCTTCAGGGGCAGAGCAAGAGGTGGCTAACCCCACACCATCTTGTGCCAGGAAAGGTCATTTATGGCAATGGCATCAATCCGCTGTCTGCCCTTCGACAGGAAAAGTTTACACTCATGCCTTGCCTGTCACATGTCCTCAACCTGGTGGCGCTGTGTTTCCTAGTTAGGTTTGCTGGCTTCCATGATCTCCTCTGGCAGACCAGAAGAGCGTGCTTCTACTTCATGAGGTCAAACCTAGATAATGTTTGCCTGGCTGAATTCAGCAGCAGCAAAACCTGCCTGCCAGCCACCTGATATGTGATATGTTCAAATGAATGAAATTGGCCTTGGCCATGTGCAGGACAGGCAAGTAATGACAGACAGTGGAGTTTTTTTCACCACTTCAGTGGCTCCTCATTCAGGATGTGTGTACAATCTTGTCTCCATTTAAAGAGGCAACCAGAATGGTGATCACCTACACAATCCCTTTGGTGTTCCTGCAAGAGCATACACTGCATGGTGTAAAAGACCAGGCACTGGAGGCACAGCAGCAAGAGGAAGAGGGGGACTTCCTGCTGTCTCAAGGTTTGCTTTGTCCTTTCAAAAGTGACTCCAATCCTGTGAGGTAGCAGCAGGGATAGGAGGAGTGCATGGCAGAGGGTTGGGGTGCCATGGGTGAGGAAGAGGGAGATATTGGGCAGGCTTCCAGGGGTAGTTTTTCCCCTCCCAAACTCTGGTAGTTGTTCTTGGGTGGAGTGAGATTGTTGAGGACATTGTCGTCCCCAGAGACACAGAGGGCTTGGGTTCTGTGGCTGCTGAAAATTTGCATGGATGTGCTTATTCATGTTACAGTGCATGAGGAAGGACCCAAGGATCAACGGCCATCAGCCATTACTGGTTGGCCACCATTTTGAATCCATGTTGCAGGAGTAAAATTCCAGAGCTCATCCTGCCATAAGAGAAGGAACAAAAAATGTGCCATCCAGAGGAGGTGCTGAAGGGGAACCACCTAACAACCTTTCCAGGGGGTAGTTGGATCCTCTTTCATGGACAACAAGGCTTGGATTGTCTGGCCGGTGAAACGAGAAGCAACCATGGTGGTGGCTGTCTTAGCAAGTTCTCTTCACTACACATTGCCCAGACGTGGCTGCTGGCAGAAGCTACAGTCAGTGTCTGAACCATATGATCTCCTATTATTTTGTATCAAGGGGGATGGGAACACCCTTATAACAGACTTGTCCCTTGATTTTGTGGATGTCGGGGAAGCCCAAGCTTGCCCAAGCTCAATGGAAAGAAAGAAAGAAAGAAAGAAAGAAAGAGAAAGAAAGAAAGAAAGAAAGAAAGAGAAAAAGAAAGAAAGAAAGAAAGAAAGAAAGAAAGAAAGAAAGAAAGAAAGAAAGAAAGGTACTATATAATTGCTTTATAACACTCACCGTTGTTGTGCAACATGGAATGTCTCTGAAACATATGTAAAGAACTGACAATGAATATCATTGGTACAGTGCTTCTTGCATTGCTCCATGTTTGTTACTTTGCTAGTGTTGTAGTTCGTCCCCAGCATGTCCAGTCCTGGGAAAAGCTTATCCCTGCAAGCTGTTAAAAAATACATCTTCTTGAATAATTTGGCATAAATGTGCTGAATAATTAGAAAAGAGCAAATATATTCTCATTAACCCTGACTAACACAATTCACCTGACATCGATATAGATTAGGGGTTTCAAAGTACCGGCCCGCAGGCCAATTCCGGCCCATGTGGCCCGCAGTTGGCTGACAAGTCAGGAACGCAGTCACGAACCACGTACCTGACTTGTGGGAACAGCTACACGGTTTGCATCTCTGTCTGATGCAGACCGCAAAGCTTCTCCTGGCGGTGCCAGCTCTCAGTTCCTTTTAGCCAGTGCTCTGACAACCTTTCACTGAGTGTCGGCTGAAGGGATGGATTAGCAAAGTCTGCACCGGCCAAAGGTGCAGACCATACTAATCAACCACGGGACCACCAGGGAATGCGCCTCCTTCAAGTAGGCTCTTCATTTTGTTTGCAGTGTCCAT